AACAGAACCTATCAGCAGGATTTTGGGTAAACACAAAATCAAAGTAATCTTCAAACTCCATAGGAAGCTCTCCCATTTACTCCCAAATCCGAAGGATCAAAAATCATGCCTAGAAACATCAGATGTATATAAGATCCTTTGCTCTTGTGGTAAAGTTTATATAGGAGAAACCGGGAGGAACATCAGTACGCGAATCAAGGAACACCAGCGATGTACCAAGTATGGTCACTTTACTCAATCAGCCCTAGCTGAACACTGGATGGAGACTGGACACTCCATACAATATGACAAAGCCACCAGATTGGCTCCCTCACAGAGTTATTTTGCCAGAAAACATCGTGAAGGTCTAGAAATTTTGAAACATCCCAACAACCTCAACCGAGACAAAGGTATGCAAGTAAACTATATTTGGCATACTGCCCTCCCGGTTTTTTAATTGACCAGCTGATCAATTAAAAATACGCTGATTGGCTGGATTCAAGCCTCGTCCCCTACTCCCTAAACACCATCTACACAAAGGGGGGGAGGGGGGCATATAAGGACTACCTTTACCCAAGGGAGTTCAGTATCAGAGTTCTCAGCCCTGATGATGCAAACTGCAACGTTTGCGAAATTTCGGCATATCGCTGATTCAAGACACGGCTCCATTCCGAAAGCTATACCTAGACATCATATGATCTTTGTAACGATGCATATCGTCACATAAAAGAAACGCAAAAACAACGCGAAGCAGAAGCGCAAGGGGACAGCGCGTCCTCTAAGATTGTAAACAGCGCGACCGCCGAACAACCGCGGTAAATAGCGAATCAAGCGAGATTCGAGATATATAAAATACCGCGTAATCATAATAGGAAGAGATTCGATCATCCGCTCTGGAAAGAGAATCAAAACCGATCCACCGCTCTAGAAGGAGAATCCGATTCCGATTATCCGCTCTAAGAGAGACCGACTCCGCTCCTAGCAGATTATTGTTCGTCGATTGACGACTGTAATCACTCCGCC